TGTTTTCGCGGAAACGAAATGACTCCAGATCACTTGGTCTTTCTAGTGTATTTGGATTAAATTTCTAAATCGCAACCACGAAAGTATTTCCCACCTCGGTCAACGCAGCAACCACCAAATCTGGATTATTCTCCCAGAAATGTCGATTCCTGAACAACACATCGACCACCTTCCAGTGTTTATATTGCCGCAACAAAACATCGATTTTACCCAATCGAATCTGAAATTTTTTCACGAAAATAAAAATTCTCAAAATTCCACTTCCACAAAACACTCCAAAGAATGTAAAATAAAATTAAACCAAAAATATCAACAAATCAAAAAATCAACCTTCGGAGCCAACGGCGCTGTAAGTTCAACGTCCAGTGTCACTCCACCTCGTTGACGTTCTTTTGGCGCCGGTGCTGCCACACGTATCCTCAAAACTCAATAATTTAATTCAATCCGCATTGAAGCTTCGCTATAAAACGCTGGAGCATAGAGATTTCACAAAACTTTTCGTGATTCGAAAATAATTTCAAAATTTCAATCGTTTTTCTCTGCAAATTTCTCCAATTCCATCAAAAAATCGCCACCACTCCACCAAATCAACGCAATAAATCACTCCAAACCAACGTTTTCGAATGCTCCAAACCAGCGCCCGTCTCTTTCGCCTCTTTCAACGTCTGCTCATGTTGTCCTGCTGGGTCTCTTCTGAATATCGCCAATAGATTCGCCATTCCAACAGCCATACTTTGGTCATCATCCGACACGGCCACCGCATACACCTCAAGAAACATACGATAACAAAAATAAGTAAAATAACAATAATAATAATAATAATAATAATAACAAATAATACCGGTGCGGCCAATGAGATCGAATGAATGAGTGCATAATCAGGAGTATCCGTATGATAAATGTTAATCTTTTTGTCCAATCCTCCCGATATTAACCGACTGCCCTTCGATGCCAAGCACATCGATGTGATCTAAATTCACATGATGACTTAACATAATCATAAATAATAACAGCAACACAACAATAAAACAAACGAAAATAACCGTTTTGTGATGGTGTTTCAACGCCAGCAAGAATCGTCCCCCCGATGCAATATCCCAAATCTTGATCGCCACACCGCCTGCAGTTGCCAGTATCGCGTCTCCATTCAACAACACCACCGCCTCAATCGGTGCATCGTGTTCCACACTCACCAATGGCTTCACATCTTGCTCATCATCTTCTGCATCGCGTTCCTCTTCATCTGCACGAATATCCCACACTTTTGCTGAATGATCATACGAACCTGAAATATGATGAAGCACTCACTAATTCAACACTAAATCAACCATTCAATACACAATACTCATTGAAATAAAATATTTTTAGTCGAACTCATAAATACTAAATAAGCCTAAACCATAAGAGATGCCCTATAAACGGGTCAATAATGCATAATGAAAGAAGTGAACCAATAAAGTAACTACTGCTCACCACTCACGAATAAATGACTGCTGAATTTCGAAGCACATCCGCACCTGATACGATCGCTATGCGCCGCGTTTATCACTCGTTTCGGTGTGCTCTTATTCTCGGCAATATCGAACAACTTCATCGAGCCATCGTCGGCCATCGT